AACGCAATTATCGGTACCTGTCGAAATTCGACGAGACCGTGGACGGTGTCTTGCTTAAGGAAAAAAAAGAAAAAAGGAGAAATAATCGTACATTTGCACGGTGAAGAATCAACGTTTAAAATAAACGGATCTTCGCGTTTTTATTGATCTTTGTCGCTTTTTAAGTGCCGCGAATCTCGCGAGTTCTTTACAGAATTAAAAGATAACATGGAAATTTTGCGTGAATATATCTCGCACGATCAGCAATTATATCGCAATTATCTCAGATATATCAGCAAGAATATCAAGTTGATTTCCCTGTATAATTTTTTATTTAACAATACTATAAAATTATTGTTATGAAACATTTGTGATATTTAATTCTCATCTATTGTCATGAATGCTCAAGAGTTCTTTGCGCGCTAGTTCATTTCTATTAAAGCGAAAATAGTTTGATTTTTGTTGTCCTTTAGAAAAGTTTTCGAGATTAATTATATCGATCTCAAGTCACATGCTATAGATGAAAACATCCTATAGATAAAATACCTTAATAAAAACTGATTATTATAATACTGACCATGCAAGAAAGATATAATTTTAACCATTACAAACGTGTTACTCAGCAAGTCGGCAATTTAAATAGAATTCTAATAAAGATATAGAATATGTGTTTTACAAACTTCATATAAATTTGTTCGTCTCTAAGATAAAAATCTCTAAATCTCGTTTTATATCATACATGTAACATTGAAATCTTTAGAGCTTGAAGTACAAGATATTAAAAAAGGATTTGAAATAGTTTAAGATATTAAACTTTTAATTAAAAGATGTACTAACTTTTATCTCCCTTTTTTCTTTTTTTTCTTTAAAAACGTAATAGCATGGAAAGTTAATGACAAATATTTAATAAATACATTACAACAATACACGAAACATTAGAATGTTTTCACGTTTCTTTTTTAATTAAGATCGCAAATGCAGCTCCGACATATTTTTAATATCGAAATGTGCATATTCATCGTTTCAAAAAGCTTCCCGCTGAGCGATGTGCATTCAATCCTCCGATATTTTCTATTTTCACGATACATAAGTGGAAATTTGTCTAGATACATATTTCCTTCTTCCGAATAGATTCACAAAGGCTTGGAGCGGCGAAAGAAAACGAAAGAAAAAATTTCTGACGAGCGCATTTTTCTTATACTCTTCATCCTAATATCCTTATTAAAATTATTACGTTGCTTCGGAAAATATTGGCAGTACGGTAGTAAGTTGTGAAAGACTCATATTCATCTTCGGTCTGCTTCAGTGTTGTTGCTTTTGTTGTTCCTGTTTCTTTTATACTTGTTGCCGTTTACGGTAGCGTTTATTGTAATTATGCTACTCGCTGTTTATTCACACAATCCTTTTCATTTTCATCTTCTCACTACGCGCCAATGACATAATGTATCGCGAATTTGTAGAATATATTATTTAATTTCATATAGATGTAAAATTATCTTTGTTTTGTATTTTTATTAAAGATGAGTATTACGAAATTGAAATTATTTATTAGTTCTGTAGCACAAATGTCTGTGTATATAAGAATACAAAAGTATCTTCTATAATCTAAGAAGCAAAAAAGACAAATAGTTTTTTTCAGAAATTTATTAGATGTGTCAAAATTATTTTTTCCAAGTATTTCTTCCAAGAATTAAAATGAAATAAAAAATAGAAAATGTTTTTAATCGAATAATATAACATAACTTATTTAGATCAAAATTTTAATTGTTACATTGAAAAAAAGCAAGATTTGCAAATATTTTCGCGAAATTCCTAAAATTCGCGAAATTTTATCTCGGCGCTCTAGTTTTACACACACGCGCATGCACACACACACACATACACACACGGAGAAACACACACACGCGCTACGAGTCACAACATCAACGAAATTCTCTATTCAATTTTTTATTTTTAATTGCACGCTTAAATTACTTACGAATTATTTATTGATTACAGGCTAGCTCACAGGACGATCGACTGCATCGCGACGCGCCGCGTCGTCGATCTCTCTGATGTCATGTATAAATTATGTCACGTGTTAATTAAATTAATTAAAGTAATTCAATATTCTCTCCTGACATCGATTTATGAGAAAATTCATCCCAGATGCATCAAATAGATCGCTTAATAGATTAAAATTACAATATACATAACAGCATCAAAAATAATCTCCAAAAATAAAATGCCTGTGAAAGATTAATCCAAATTACAACAACATAGATATGTAACATTAATGAAGAAATTACGTTAATATAATAAATTTTATTAACATAATGCTCGAAATTTTATGTCCAATTTTCACTAAGCAAATATCATGCAGACAATAAGATAATACAATTAAACATTATATTATTATAAATTTATTTAAAAATTGAGAAGTATATAAAAGTGAAATTTTTGTGATGTTAAAGGACGGTTGTTCAGCACATTTCAAAGCTCAGAAGTAATTTGTTCATAAGTTTGGCACACACGCAGGAGAAATACATGATGTATGTCCCGCGAATAAATTAATTATTGACAAAAATGCAGGCGAAAACGCGCACGTGCGCGATCGTCCGTGACGAATGAAGTGAATTATTGACAGCTAATCTTAAAAAAAAATTTCATGCGACGATTTGCGATATCTTTTTTTTCCATTTGACTCGCGCGTTTGTCATTCCCTAATTAAACTGCCCTGTTTTCGACGCTATTTCAAATATAACCGGTGCTCTTTGAACAACGAGAGACCGGATGCATTATGTATTTATTAATTTCTTCATTTATTAATCTCATATATATATATATATATATATATATATATGTATATATATATATATATATATATATATATATATTTTCTTTAAACACTTGTTTGGTTTCTCACACACTCAGGCACGCTTTCTAGTACGGAACGATTTAGAATTTATTTTATTGCGCGATGCAAAGGTGCTGCAAGTCATGTGAGTGTGTTATCGCAGAGTGAGTGCACTCTTCACGTACGTGTGTCATGTGTGTTCGTGTATATCATAGACTCATATGTATATTTCCTCCTTCATATATTTACGTTATATAATATAATCTCTCTCTTTTTTTCTATACATATTTATATATATATATATATTCTTTCCGTTAATCTTCTGTTTAAGGGCGCATCACACCATTAATTACAAAGATTTATTACAGACAGGCTGTGCATTCTCCTCTCTTCTCTGTTTTTCTAGATTTTGCAAATATTTACATTGCATTGTTATTGTTAAACAATTTTTGTTGATCAAACAGTGTCTTTAATTCCCTTCTCCGTTATTTTTATGAGGCATATCCGGTTGCATCAGTCAATCGTCCGCGGTGCAATAGAATCATTTAGCTTCATATAATTCTGTTTCTTTTGCAAAGCTTATTTGATATAACATTTTTCTTATAATTTCACACAATTCATTCCGATAATCAATAATTGAGGCCACAAATATTACAACATTACATATACAACACATATACAACACAAACATAATGTTTTCTTAAATGCTTTCACAATTTTATTGATTGTAAAATAATTGATAAATAAATAACTTAATTCACAAAGATAAACCAATATATCAAATAAAGAATTATAAATTTCTGCTACTGTATATATATATATATATATATATATATATATATATATAATTATTTTATTATATAATTATAATTATTTTTATGAAGTTTATAAACTTTTTTCATAAAATTATTAACAGTATTTCAAATATAATTCTGATATTGTGTATCATAATATGGTATTATAAGATACTCTTAAAAGAATTGTGATTTCTCTTTCTTTCTCTCTCTCATTTTAAAGAAACAAAATAAAACAAATAAAAGATATTTTTTATTTTAATATAAGGTAATGCTCAGAGCAAGTTTGTTTCGTGAATAGCAAAAGAAAACGGACGATCGATCGCTACAGCCGAGCAACGCTAACGATAACGCCGTAATAAACGATCGAACGAGATATCTCGTTTTAATTAATTACTGTTTAAGAATCTTCGCGATCGACTAAAAGTCAGTCACGAAGCTTTGAAAGAACGAGGGCATCATCTTAAGTTAGAGTATAAAGGTACGTAGGTCCCTACCTCCATTTTTACATCGATTCATATAATCACATCTTGACTATATCGCGTCAAACCGTCTTATCAATAATGTTCACTTCGTGTTAATCTATATAACAAACCATAAACGATGCAAGAGTATGATAAAACAATGTTTACGTCATTTTATCCATTCTTAAATTCTAATATTTTTTAAATATGCAAAAGATAAAGTATAAAGAAACATATCTCACTAGAAAAAATGACGTGGTAATAATTTATATAGCTTTTTATTCATTTAAGAATGCGATTATCAATAAGGAGAAAAAATTAATTGTGCGGAAAACTCTATATGAAAATTTATATATATATATATATATATATATATATATATATAATAGTTTTCTTTTTCATAAACTATAATTTTAAAATGAGAATTTAATATGTAAATTTTCTATTTTAGACATGACTTTTGTTCTACAATCAAAAGCAATGGTCACAATAAATTATATTTAATTTTAACAACTTCATACCAATTAAATTGTTTTTGAATTGTTGATGTTCTGTCTCTCTATCTCCTGATTTCGTACTGATCTCTTTGGTTTTATTATCATAATTCTTATATATATAATAACATGTGTGTAAAATAAACAACACTGTATTGTTCTGTCATTAAATTATTAAACGATGATAATTTTCTCTAAAATATCGTGCAAAAAACAATGAGATTTTATACAAAAATACATGTTTTTGTAAAAAACATATTAATATTAATAAGAACAATGTTCAGAAATAATAAATAGTGAAATATAGATATATAAACATTCAATTATATTTAATATAATATTCAAATAATATTTTAATCATTTATATATGTATATATTCGAGATCCTCAAAACCTTTAAAATAATATAATTAAAATTATTTAGATTTGCTTGACTTAATGTTAACGATTAATACTCATATGTATAACATTCCTACCTACAGAGTATCAGAATTGTGTGCCCTGCATGTAATTCATACAATTAGAAATCATATATATAATAAATATATAGTGCTGAGATTGGTATTTGAGTTTTATTCTCTAAAAAATCCTTCGATCGTAAAATTATAATATTCCCAAAGATAAAGTGCTTTATTCTCTGGAAATAATTTCAAATTATATAATTCTTAAATAAACATCTAGATTCACAGTTCTCTTCTGTCGATCGTTGATTGTATCTGCCTTGTAATTATCCAAAAATATACCATATGATAAATCTTTTAATATAAAGACAATAAAAGAGTCAAACGATTGTATGTAGAGCTAAGTACGAGCTTCAACTTAGCAGCAATTATTTACGTATATATAACTGTTACAATGAACATTAAAAATCGTGAAGTTTACGTGAAGTAACATCATCATTATAGCGTAAATAAATTTCTAATCTTAACTAATTAATAAATCCTCTTTGACTATTTTTAATTCCAATAAACGGTATACGTCTCTTCTTTTCTTTTAAGAATCTCATTTAAGAAAGAACATTATTTATGGAACGGCCTGACGCGAAGTAGTAGTGCGAAATCCTCGAGAACACGATCCCACACGAACAAATCCCGTATAATTCGCGACCCTAATCGCAATCGTTCAGCCACACCTGGGTTACCCATTTCGCGAACCCGTCTCTCGCTGCTGGCGTGAATTAATCGATTAATTCAATAAATCGGCACGACTTTCCGCAGGAAAAACTCGACATTTTCCTCTCCCTACAAAAATCCATCCGATATGCGGCTGCAACGAGGACGCGTCTGTTAACATGAGATATATTTTTTTTTCTGTTAAACGAAAGTCTGCGAAACGACGCAAATCCTGATAGGATTATTATCACAGAGGATAAACCGCGCGTCGATCCTCACGCTTCGATAACGATCGATTCGTGCCGGAGTAGATCGAGAAAGAACATCCATGATAATCTGGATCTTCCTTGAAGATTCTCCGTGAATCAGGTCAAATAACGAACGATCACCACATCCTCTGAGAAGCGAATCAATCGCGAATAGAATGCTGTTGAACCTGATGATGATCCATTTCGCGTGGCATCGATGCGAACAATTTATTTTTATTACTGGAATCGAAAAGCGCGAAAAGTTTATAGCCGCATAATTGCACGAGTTCAAAACAACATCAAATATATATGTATATTGCAAGCTTTTATAAAAAGACCTATAATTAGCCTTTTTATAAAGCGAAAACCTGGCTTTTTATGAAAAGCTTAAATTGTTTATAAAGAATTTAATATAAAGTCTGCAACACACATATTCATAAAAATATATCACTGTGTGTATTGTATTGTACAGTAGTTGTCAAGCCTGAAATTGAAGCAGAACATTGACCTCGTAAAAAACACTTAACAATTGTATGATGATTGAGATTATGCAACAAATAATTAATTAATTAATTACTAATTGTAATTATGGTAACGCACAGCAAAAATCTGCTATCAATAGAAAATACACACCGTAGACAAAATAAGATATTTATAATTGTTTCTCAAAACAATGCATATTCATGAAAAAGGAATGCAAGAGATTTATATATAAATGACTCACTTCACCAAATTCTAGACACGTAGGCTTTTTCAATTATCCAATTCACTTGTAGGATGCATGTCACTGGAAATTTGTCCGCGATTCACCGGAGGAGATTGCTTTGTCGTAGCTCGATTCAGCGAGCATCTACGAAACTAGGCCGCGTCGTTGGAAAGCCGACGCAAATCCGGAAAAATTGCCTGCACTCAGGTTCATCCAGCGACCTCGAACCGCGAACGGCCTGCTCTCGGCTTCGCGCCGTATTTCAAGGCGGCAAACGAAGCGAAAGTAATCTCGGAAAATTGTCTTACGCTCGCCAACCAATCATAATTCACCTTTCCTCTTGACTAGTCCCAATCGTCAATCCAGCTTCGATTGGTTTGCTTTTCGACATGATCTCCTCATAATAGAAAAAAATAGAAGAGGCTGTTTTCTCCTGAATGCGGTGAGGTGTTAAAAATATGACCTCTTTATAAGCACGCAAATTTTGTACGCACATCATAGCTAGAAATTACAGAAAAAATTTTAATGCTTATTAACAAATTTAACTACTTTTAAATGATTGATTATATTAAAGTTATATAACGAAGAATGGTTGGAAAATATTAGGAAATTGTCCGCCTAGCATAAAATAATGCTATCCTTTTTTTAAATTAATAATAATAATAAATCAACTCCAATTCGATTCCAATCATAAGACTGGAGTAACTTTATTTAAATCTCAATCATCATACTAAGCTTTTCCAGCTATAGAAATCGATTTATATTTATATTCGAGGGTAGTAGTGCGAATCGCCGGAAGTAAATGCGAGTAGATTTTGTAAGCAAAACTAATGGCGCGTGAATTCAACGATATACTTGCAATCGCGATGCACGTAATTTAGCGAGGTTGTGTTAGTAAGCATTATAGCCGAGAATATATCCGAAATAAATCGATCCTGTCAGAAATTCCATATATTTCCAATAGCAATAAAAGCGATATATCATTCTCTTCTTCCTCGGAAGTTATTTATAAAATAAATTTTTTCAAAATAACGATTTTTCTTTCCAAAATAATTAAAACATCAAACTTTTAATTTAATTATAAATATATTTTAGAGATTTTGTTTTTTATATACATATATTTCGCGTGGAAAAATTCACACAGAAATTCCTTTTGCTTTATATTATTACACGTGTAGTTTAATTTTTTATATGTCAAATATACTTTTAATTTAAATTTGAATTAAATTAATTTTTTAAGTAAACTTTACATAAAATTTAGAATAAATTGCGAGATTTTGGATAAAGAAATCAACGAGTCGCGATATCACTTACGGAACTTTCGAAACATGCGAAACAAAAATGCTCAGCACGGGTTAACAAGATCCACGACTACTTCCGGTGGTTCGCGCTGCGCCTTTTAAAGATCGAGTGATTGATGGCTCACCGTTGCTTCGACCATAGTCGACCGTGGTTCGTTCATCGGGTTCAGCAAGCAGACAGGTGTGGAGGAGGACGGCGGTGAATTTATAGGTGAGTGGTGATGTGATAATGCATGATTAACGCATTATCACACACAGACGATCGTGATCGGTTCTCGTGATCGTCGCGATTCAAACGGTCTCCGATACCGGGAGCGGTGGTTGTCCACCGGAAGTAGTCATGACGGGCGCGGTGTTGGCGGTGTTGGTGGGGGCCGGAAGTGGCTGTAGGGCCTGCATGTCGCAGATGTGCGAATCGCGCTTCTTTAGGTCCTGGAACAAGTGGCATTTCGAACATGTTTGAATTTTCTCCCTCTGTCGCTCTTCCTCTCATTGCTATTCTTTATTGCCATTTCGCACTCCCTTTCTTTCTCCCTTTCTCTCTCTCTCTTTCTCTCTATTTTTCTATCTCTCTTTCTCACTTTCTCACTTATTTCCTCTCACACCTTCTCGCTCACACTTGCATTTTCGCCGCTTTTATTCTAGCTCTCAATTGTTCTCTAGCTTCTAATCTCTAGATCCAGACTAAGCAAGTAGGTAACATTATGTCTACCCCTTTCACCTTTCTTTTTTTCTCTCTCTTTTTCTCTCTCTCTCTCTCTCTTTCTCTCTTTTTTTCTTCATTCCTCGTCCTCCTCGGGAAAGAAATGATCCTTGATGTTATAATTGAGCTAAAATGTCGATCGTGTGAAATTACATTTCGATTTCGAGAGTCAAGGGACTTTGGTGATTTACGGATTGGTATGAACTGATGTGATCCAAACTGATGATCGACTTTGAATGATCCTTGAGCTCGCAAGACACGTATAAATCTCCCGAGGACGAGAGGTTCGGGAAAAGTTTTGGATGACTTTCGTCCCAAAAAGACAGAAGAGAACGAAGAGAGATCGAAAAATGAGGATGTAAGGAGTGAGACGAAGAAAGTATCACGCGTGCATTAAGAGAACATGCGACGAATGAGAAAGAGATATAACGAGCGGGAGCAATCGAGAGAAAATCAAGATACGAAGCAAATAACGACACAATACAATAAGAAGGGTACAACAACAATTACAACAACAATAACAAGAACAATTCAACATTCCATTACATGTAAAACACGAAGGTAGAAGGAAGCAAACGATGCACAGGGCCGAAGACGCTTTGCGTAATACGGCATGTTTGTTCGGTTTGCTTGCTTGATATATTCACATGTATGTTCAAATTAACTCAAACGCGCAGCTCAAGCCACTATAGACAGAATTATTCTTTTGCTTACGAAAATAACGTAAATTTATAGATTAATAATAATAACCAATATATCTCTTTTTCTAAAAAATTTTTAAATTACAAAAAATAAGTCTAAAGTTACCAAATTCGTTCCATAGATTAATGTGCTTCAAAATTTTGTTTTTCAAAATTTAATGTAATAAATTTATGTATGTGATATTTAAGAAAGTCGTGCGTATAAAAACTTATACAAGTCTTTAGGAAAATAGAACATGCGATAAATTTTTGTCTAAAATATAATCATAACTTTTAAATGATTATAAATTATCATGCTCGCGTTTTTTTCAAAGATTGTAATGTATATTAAAATTATATTAATATAAAATACAATATAATTATTGTAATATCTTATCGTATACAAAAATAATCAGAGATGTAGTATCCTTTCAGAAAGAGTCTCTGCAGGATATCGGCGTTGCAATAGAAGGCTCGCGAGAGATCCTTATGACAGTCGCATGCGAAGTGCGTTATAAGTCTTACAAGCGCAAATTGTAAATTAAATAGTCGTGATATCACAGCGTAACAATTATAACAAGCAGTCGTCATACTTTACATCGATTCTAAGTTGAATTTACAGCTCACCCTGGCAGCATGATCCTTTCTAACATTTATCACAAAATTTTATCGCAATAATACCGCACGGCTATTGTCTTGCACTTAACCAACGTGATTTTCTACGCTATGTCTTTCGTGATTAATAACAGCAAATCGCGCAGTCTTATCCGACTTTAATTATACTATTAGTAATTGCGCAGCGTAGTGATAATCGTAAATCGATTTTACAATTAGTAGCGTGAATGTGCCAAGATAACGATCGATTGGAGGAAGATAAAACGGAACGTAGACAATTACCGCACGATTCATTCTTGTCTTATTTTATCTTCCAAATGAAATCTCTGGAAAATTTATGTGGATGCTTAATTAAAATTTTTAAAGAATCTTAGATAAATCTATTCGTGATTTTAGAAATCAGTGCTTTTAGGAAATCAGACATTTAAAAATTGCAAAGACGCTCGCAAAATTGCATGTTTTAAAATACCAGAGAGTAAATTTCTCTCTGAAAATTTAATAAACGTCAAAACATATGTAATAATAAGAATTATTATTTAAATCTCTAATATTACATTTTCTTTTAATAAACGAAAGCAGTTTTATTAATTTAAAAATGCTTTAATTAAAAAATGCTCTGCATATTAAAAAATTAATATCTCTTTCTCTATTTTGTATTTTTTATGAGAAAACAAAGCTATATATATCTAACTATATATATAATATATACAATAATATATATAATAAGCTATAATACATGTACCTATATGCGCTATTAATTATTTGAAATTTTAAATCTAATTTTACATCTTTAATATAATCCATCCTATATTACATCGTTGTTAATAGTTCCTAAGAGAATTTAAATAGAAAATTAAAATGTTGAACATATATATATATATATATATATATATATATATATACATCATACGTCATATCTTATTCTCAGCTATGCCAATTTCATACATACTTTCTTAGAATCGCAAACTAAAAATATTGAAGAATATCCTGCACGTGGCATATCAAGATTTGTGCAATATAGATATGTGATAGATATTTTTATATTCTTATGAATATTGAAATGTCGCTGCAACATGCAAATTTCTAGATATTTGTTGACCGTTATTTATTATTCGTCGAAACACATGTTTCACGTAAAAAATTGACATGCTTGAAATATCATCATGAAATATTAAAATATTATCTTTAGAATAATAATTTTATACTAATATAAGAAAAGAATTCTAAAAACTAACAAAAATAATCTAATGCATTTTAAATGCGCATCTTGATATATATATTATATCATATTCTTTTCAATATAAAATAATATTTATCATAATAATTTTTACAATAATGTTTCATATAATAAAACATCACGGCATTATTAATATATTCAAAATATTGTAAATATAACATTAAAATAATAATTATGTATTGCAGAATTTTATAATATACGGTATAATTTAAATATTAAAAAATATTAAATATGTTCTGCTAAAAAAGAACCTAAAAATTATTGTCTGCACCGATAAATGTACTCGCCCAAACCGCAATGCAGTAAATTCTCAATAAATTTAAAACGCACAAATCGACCTCCGCGACATATCGCCACACATATGATCCTTAATCCGTCGTAAAATCGTGAAAAGTGCCCAATCCAATAATTTCTACTCTACTCGACAAGCCTCCTTGATAATTCCACTATTGCGATACTTCACGCTGCGTCGCAGTGCAGTTGCGCCTTCCATGCACGCACGCGTTATTGCACTAAATCGTAATATGTCGCCAGATCTCGCGTGTGTGTCAAATGGATGCTTGTAAAGTGTTCGAATATAGAGGCTAGACACGCGTTTGAATAGTAATATCCAGAATAGTAAGAGAAGTTATATTTTTTTGAAAAATAGACAAAAGAATTAACAGGTAGTAATTATGTCAATACTAGTAAATCATCACGAGCAAAACAACGATATGATTTCTTCTTTCCTGTTTTAAAAATCAAAAACCTAACTCTTTTTTAACAAAAAAATTTGAATTTTATATGTTATATATATAAAAGCCTTACGAATTTTCATTCATAGCAACTATTCAGCTTCTCCAAGACTACGGTTTGGCTTAGAGATTCGTGTAAGTGATGTGTATGTGACATATAACTATACATGTAAAAGATTATAATTTGATGTAATTGACTGTAATTGATTGTAATTGACTTTGTGTCAAATGGTTAATTTTATCAAGTTTAATTAATGAGTTAATAATTAAGTTTAATCAATTTATTATTTGATAAATAAATAAATTATATAAATAAATAAATTAATTTACCGTCCATTTTTACCCCCCCCCCCCCTAAAAAAAATTAGAAATAGTTATTTAATTCTTGTTAACAATCTTTTTTGTTTTTATAATTACATGATAACAAAAATTTTGTGACTAATTCTTATATAAAACCAAAATGTGTCTAATTAAACGCGAAATAAATCGTTATTTTCGTTTAAAAGGAAAACGAAATTATTGGAATTTAAATAAAAATGAGATTTACGATGAAACTATTTGCATCTCTCATTTCTCTCGTGGCGTAAACGTCCACAAATATTCAAGGTATATTCTTCTAATAATATCCGACGAATTTATTAATGTAGCAAAATGCTGAACAGTTTGCGCAGAGTGCCTTTATGAATCTTCAAGAACGACGTAGAATGCCAACCAAAAATTTCTCTATAAAACCACGATAAAACGCATAAGCAGTTTATATAAAATACAGGAAAAAGCTCAACTATACAGAAAGTAAAAATTATTGAAATTCGTACGCTTCTTGGACGCTTCTTTCAGCAAACGTAAAATCGCAAAAGATAGAAGCACGCAAGACAAAATGACTTACATTTCGATGCTTATTTATTATATGATTAAATTATTTATTATATAATTGTATATTTTTTATTATGTATGTAATTTAGATGTAAAAAATCAAATATAAGAAAAATAAGAATCGTAGCATTATATTCAAAGCTTTTCTGGATCTTCGAGATAATTTTTGACAATGTTATGTAAACGTACACAGACATCTTAATATACGAAACAAATATAAAACATAATTTACACACGATCTGACAATACAAATATTCTGTACTACGTAATTTATTGATCGCGATATAAACGTATAATCTGCGGCAATATCAATACGTAATATAATCCGCCGAAAGCAAATTTATGATATGTAAATGCAAATGCAGAAAGCACGATCGATGAACGCAACAAGCGTACCAAATGCAATACTTGTGTTATCGCTAAATGGCATCGCGCTTAATAATTGCATTAATGTTTTTTATGAAACCAAAGCAAATATTAATTAAAATTTTACAAAAGATAAGGCATAATTAAAATCACAGATTAAGAAATTTATAAAAAAAAACATTATATATAAATCAATATCAAAATTCTCTGTTTATGTATATAAT